ATTACTATATAATATAAATCTATAAAATTTTTCAATCAATTAACTAAAATAAAAATTCAAAAATTTAAAAATTAATTATTATATATAAACAACTAATATAACTAATTGGTTAATTAAATAATCTTAAACTAACCTATTCAAAAATTTACAACAAAAAAAACAAATAGTTTTATCAGACTATTTGTATTTTTTTTATTTTATGTATTTAGATTTATAAGTAAAATAAAACAATATTTACAGTTTTAAATTAAATTTTTTAAAAAAATTATCAAATAAAATATAAATAAGTTTTTAAAAAAAATAATTATAGTAAAAATATTTTGTCATTTTTAAAAAAAAAATGTAATAAAATTTTTTGGTATGATTTATAAATAAATAAATTTTAATATTATTTAATGTCTTAATTAATGTCTTATTTTATTTATAAATTATTATTTTTCTTATTTTTATTTTAAAAAATAATTTTAAAATTACGATTTAGTTTAAATTTTTAGTTTAAAATGACCACTGGGTCACAATTGATCATTGCTTGGTAAAAACAAACCATAACTTATAATTATTTTTATTATTTTAATATTTAATCATTAAATATCAAAATCAATAATCATAACAATTAAATAATTATAAAAAAAAATAAAATATAAATATATATGTTATTTTGTATCTAGATAAATTATATTATAAAAGTTTTAAAATTATTAGATTTTTTAATTAGAAATTAAATTTTTAATTAGTTAGAAATGTTATTAGTATTTTATAAATTATATATTAATTAAAACTTTTTTAAAATTAATATACTGTAATTAAAATAAAAAGTTATTTATTATAATAATTTATAACTAACAAAAAAAAACAATGCCACTCCATGTGGAAACTATTTTTGTATTTATATTTAATTTAATTATTTCTAATAATATAATAATAAAAGAATTACAGTTTTAAGAAAAATAAAAATATTAATAATGTTTTTTATATATAATTTTTTCTTTATAAATATTATTTAATAAATATTTTCTAACTATAAATAAGTTAAATTAAAAAATAACAATTAATTTATTTATTTCTAATATTTTAATAATACAAGAATTACAGTTTTTTTTAATTTTAAAAATATAATAATTATTATTTCAATTTAGAAAATTTTATTTTTTTTTATAATTACTGTATAATATAAATTTATAAAATTGTTTAATCAATCAATCAATTAATCAATTAACCTAACTAACTAAAATAAGAATCCAATAATTAAAAAATTAATTATAATAAATAAATTAACTAATATATTGACTGATTAATTAAATAATAATAAACTAAATTATTCAAAAATTTACAACAACAAAATCAATTTAATAGTTTTATCTATCTATTTGAATTTTTATACTTTATTTATTTAGATTTATAATTAAATTAAAAAAATTATTAAATAAAATATATAAACTAGGACATTACTATATTGTGTTTTATATAATTACTAACCGAGAAAAATATTTATTATCAAATTAAATGATTATTACTACTAATTATATATAATTGTTTTTTTTTGATAAAAGATTTACATTTTATTAATTTATAAAAAAATTTTCATATTTAAAAAAAATAAATAATTTTTATTTATTTTTAAAAAACTCTATATAATTTAATTAGTCTACTGTTAGTATAAACTAAATTTTATTCTATAATAAATAGTAAAATATATCGATCCTAATTTTAATATTTAAAAAAAAAAATAATAATAATAAATATCAATTGCTTGTTAAGTTATGTTATATAACTAATAATAATTATTGAAAATATTCAAATTAATTTCTAATATTTATATATTTTTACAGTATTTAAGTTTATTTAGATTTTATAAATTAAATTTTTTATTAAAAAATAATATTTATATCTATATATATAGCAACAATGATTAATTAAAACAAGTTGTTAAAAACTGTACAACATAAATTATATATTTATTATTAGTTTTAAATTATACTTTTAATTTGTATATTTAGTATATAGTAACATATAGTAACAACATATTTTATTTTTAAATAAAAACTATAATTATTATTGCTAATATGTTTATAAACTAATTATAAATATTTTTTTTTTTAAAAAAATAATAACTGTATAATAAGATAATTAATTTACTAACATAATAAAAACTAAATTATCTATAATTATTTAGTAATTATATGAATATTAATTAATTAATAAATTTACTAACTTTAAATATAAGTTATATTTATTAAAATAACTAATCTAGTATAGTTAATCAATGCATAAAATTTATTTAGCCTAAAATAATATTTAACAAAATAAATAATATTATCAAATTTTTTTAGACTATTTATCGTTAATTTCTATTATGGTTATAATGTTTAAACTTTATTAATAAATAAATATATTACAGTTTTTTAATATTTTATGTTAAAATTTTAAAAATTAAAATCTATTATTCTTTAGTTTTAAAATTTATAATTATTTATTTATAAGAGTTGTTATACATTATAAAAAAATATAAACAAAATTAAAATGATTGATTAAAATAGTTGAAACTTAACCTAGATAGTTTAGTATTTATATTTAAATAATTTTAATGTGTTTAAATAATATATAGGTATGTATTATAGCTAATAGTATTGATGTGTACCTAGCTAAAATTAGATTAAATTACTACTACTACTACTACTACTACTACTACTACTACATCAACTAAATAAGTATAAATGGTTTTATGTATTAAATATATATATATATATTTTAGAGTTATATTATTTTTACAATACATATATGTTATTAATAAAACATATTAATTGATTTACTAAACTAAAATTGATTTTAAAACTATGATTTTTTAAAAAAAATACAAACTGTAATAATTTAATTAATTAGATATTTAATAATATTAAAATTTTTTATTAAAATAAATTTTTAAGTATTTATCGACAAATATATTTGTTTTATTATTAATCAATTAAAATGTTGTTGAGTAACACTATTATAGGAATTAGTTTTTTTCAAATTAATTAATTAATTTATTTATTGTTAAATTGTCGTAATTTTATTTTGTTAATTATTTTTTATTTACTAATATATTGTAATATAAAAAGTGCTAAATAATATTATTTTTTAAAAATATATATTTAAATTAATAAATTATAAATACATATAATGATAACAATATAAATTATATAAAATATTTGTACAGCAATAAAACTATTAAAATTTTTTAAATTGTTGATAGGTTATTATTAATTAGGTAGTATCAAAAATAATATATTAAGAAAAGATTAACCTAGATAATTTAGTATTTATATCTAAATAATTTTACATTGTGTGCATGTAGGTATGTATAAACAATAGACTATTATAAATATACAGGTAAATATAAAGGCTATTATACCTTATAGTATTAATATGTACCTAGCTAAAATTAGATTAAACTACTACTATTACTACTACTACATCAACTAAATAAGTATAAATAGTTTTATGTATTATAACATTTTAGACATTTTTTTTAGAGTTACACTATTTTTACAATACACACATATATATATATATATATATATATATATATATATATATATTTAAATAACTTGAGATTAATTGTTTATTAATAATGTCTAATAATAATAATACAGTTAATAATGATAATAAAAATCATAAAATACTAATTGATTTACTATTATTAGACAATAATAAGTTAATCAATGATCTAACGTGTAGTATATGTTTGGAAATAACTGTACGACCAGTGGTTACGCCGTGTTGTAAACATTTATATTGTAGACAATGTATAACTAAATGGTTACACAACAGCAATAGCACCGGTAGTATTCAACAACAACAACCACGCAATACCTGTCCATTGGATAGACAACCGCTAACTGTCCAAAAAGTTATGGATCCGCCGCTATTTATAACAAAATTGTTACAATCATACAATGATTTAGGTATAGTATATATATATATATATATATATATATATATATATATATATATATATATATATATATATATATATATCTTTTATGAAAAAAAAATTATTAATAATATTAACAATGACTGTCTAAATAATATATATATATATATATATATATACACGTATATATGAATATTTAAAAAATAATTTCTAATATTACAATATAAGTAATTTTTATTATATCCTAATATTAAGCATTATATTATTATTAATAATAATTTATAACTACTCTAGATATAAAATAATTTTATATAATATATATATATATATTATATCTATAAAAATAATGTCAATAATAATATTAGTTTAGATATTTAGCATAATATAATTTCTAATCATATTTTTTTTATATATATAACTAATATATTAAGATAAATGATTTATTAAATTTCTAAACTTTATTAAATACTTATTACTAAATTAGAGATAAATATATATATTGCCTTATATTAGCACAACAAATATCAGTAATAACTGATATTGTTGTGCTGACCAAACAAAATATTTTTAAATGTTATTAAATAAATACTGATTAGAAAATATAAATTAAAATACTGATAATAAAAATATGTACTTAAAGTATATGTAAATAATACTACTGTTAGTAATACTGTATAGGTTTTACGGCATATTTATAGTTATTAATACATAAATACATAATACTGTTATTGTAGTTATTATTAAATAATACTAAAATATTACTTATTGTTTTAATACTATTGTTTTAATACTTAGTTATAATATTGTTAAGTGATTGTAAATAGTACTATTTGGCAATTAATACTAAAAGGATATAATACTGCGGTATAATTATTATTATTGTTATTATTATTACTATCACTATTATTATGATTATTATTATTAATGTCATTATTATTATTATTGACTATTATTATTATTAATTGTTGTTATTAATTACTATTATTATTAATATTATTATTATTATTATAATTGTTAATACAGTCATGTAAAGATGTTTTGTATAGGGTCGGTGCTGCCATCTATTGATGGTAGTAGACACTATCAAGACTAGAGTGTGTAACGGGAATCACGGTTTGTTCCCAATGGGAATAACCGTGATTTTCCCGGGAAAACCGGGAATGTGTTGGGAGTAGGGTATTAAAATACCCGACACAAATCCTAACATATTCCCGTCTATAATACAAAATATACAACACTATTTTTATTAAGTGGGTTAACACCTAACAGAAACATAGGGAATATTAAGGGAATATATAGGGAAAATATAGGGAATTTTTATGGGAATATTTTATTAATTAATTAATTTCTTTAATACTTATTGGGAATTAAGTATAGTATATGAATTTATATTAGGGAAGGCACGGCATGTTTGCACACGACACCAATAGGTGTTGTGCGCAAACAATAAGTCCCATTGATTTTGAGAGTATATAAACTGCTGTAAACCATTCATTTGGTTATGAAGTGTTGGGTTCAGACTTAAACCAGTTAACCCTAAAGAGTGCTTAGGATTTGCATTAAACTGCAAACCTAATAAAATACCATTGGATTACATATAAATTTATTGTACTTTTGTTTTTATTATTATTATTCAAATAAATACTGTTATACTCATTTACAATACGGATTACAATTTATTTTAACTCAACGGTGAGTCGTCAGACTTGGACGGTATCTGTTTACGGATAGATACCGGTTGTGTTTCATCAGCTCGTATCGGACCGCTGTGGCGTAACAGTGGCTACGAATTAGTGTAACACAACGCATGTGGTGGCTAAAGCGGTGAGATATACTCAACTATTACCGGTAGCATAGCTCTTTAACTGGAGTATTGCTTACATTACCTGTTATACACCGTCGGTAAAGTTCTTTAAACAGAACCTACCGACTCACACGCAAATCCAAGCACAGTGATGAGTAGACTTTTAAAGCAAAGTCACTCTTCATAAATAGGGCTTAAAGGTCCAAAAAAGATCATAGGCATGTGCATACCGAGGGAATGGTAGCACAGCGCTTTTGTCAACAGAGGATGTCGGTTTAAAAGCTGACACTAATCCTCTGATCTTCTCACCTCACATGGGAGGAATGAGAGCCTTGGTTTAAACCGGCTGAGGGGTGCGAATGACATGTAATGATCGCTGTGATTGACTTAAACGAGTCAACACCTAACTGAGTTCTTAAACTGGAACTCAAAATTTCTACGTCTATCAACTGCAAGGGATGGTAGCTGACAGACGTGTGGACTAAGGACGAACCCAACACTTCATCAAACAACGGCTGTTTTCCGAAGCTCGAGGATGGCTAAACAACAACAACACCCGACTAATATTTAATAAACACTCGACTAATATCTAATAATAAAGACCCGACTAATAATAAACACTCGTTACCATAATAACCCTTATATAATGTTGGGGGTATAAACTAATAAACTAATAATTACCACTAAATCTATTAAACTATTGGGGGATAATTGCGCTATTATGACTCATTAAAGCTCGCTGTGATTTAAAAACTATAAATGTATTCATTAAATATAACCATTATTTTTTTTATTATGTTTATAACAGATGTCTAATAATAAATCAAACAGTGACTCTTCTATGGATTCGTATGGAAACAATCAACAGACAAATGATGCCAACAATAATGTGCCGCTTAATAATAACTCAACTAATAATTCAGTGAACCTACCTTATTGTGAACCGTCAACTTCACGAATTAATAACCCAATCGATCCATATGATATTGAAGTAATTACCATCTCTAGTGATTCAGAAATGGATATAGAAAACGCTGAAGATGAGATAACACCTGAATACTTTTTAAGCACATACAGTGATTATAGACATCCAACAAATCTGACAACTCTAAGAAATAATCTATACTCCGAGTTAATGGCATATGAATGTTACGACGACTTCTATGATTCAAATGATGCGGATGACGAGAATGATACAAGCAATGCAGATAATGTAATTGAAAACGCAACAAACGAAGAAGACGCCGAAGTAGTTGACACAGGAATTGCGGATGAAATCAAACCAGTACTCATGGGTATCAGAGATAACACGGAAATAAAAAATGAGCCACAATTGAACCACCAAATAGGAGCTGTAGTTAATCAAACACCAGCAACACATTATGGACAATCAACCGACGATGTATTTATCGGACAAAACAGTGAATTTAATTTCAGTGTACCATTTGGCTCTACTTTTGACGCGTATAACAGACTTAGATGTTCTGTTAGTACCTTTAATACTGGATATCAAAAACTTTTCATTGGACTTAACTCTGGACAAATTGCAGCATTTAATAACGGATCACTAAGACCAATATATTTTAAACTACAACAGAAAATGAACGCACCGATAAAAATTATTAAAAGTGGTGTTAAAATTAATCACTTATTAGCAGCGACTGACAACACAATTGCATATTACAATGAATTAAATGGACAACAAATCTATTCTCACACATATAAAGTTGGTAAAATTATTTCAATTTTCAATGAATGTCACCGTAAATTTGTTATTATCACAAAAGAAAAGTTTACACAAATTGACGAATTAATATTTAATGACAACATCTTAGTGAATGTACGCTACGCAACAGGTATTGCAGGAGAGGCCGAAGGGATCGCATTTGATGCATTATCAAAACATAATACATCGAAAGACGGACAATCAATTTTCACATTACGAGCAATATTATTATTAAAAACGGACGAGAGAAAAGTGATACAACTTAAAGTTTATGAAATAGAAATTACTGGTAATGTCATCAAACAAAAGTTTAAAACTCCTGTTGTAATTAATGGTAACATAGCAGCCGAACACAAAATGGTGGTAACAACGAATTATATTATTTTGGCAGAACTGTTTAATCCAGATGTTCCAACAACGACTTCAAGGAATATTCAAATCTATCGAAACGATACGCTCCATAAATGTTTTAGTTGTACACTTGGCGCACCAATAAGAGATATTGTTTGGAGCAAAAATTATCTTCTTTTAATAACTGAACTAATGCAAATTGACATAATGAACTTAAATGATTTGCAAAGAACATACTTGGTCTCATGTGAACGACCTATTATCAAAGCATTAATAACGTCAAACAACAATCAAGCAACACATGAATCACAACTGGGTATTTTATACTTAGGAACTGATTCAGTAATTCGACATAAAAACCTTAAAGACTTTTTAATAACTAAAGAAACAAAAATGGTGGAAGTCAACAACCGAATGATGATAGCGCCGCCAAAGGACTTGGGAATGATAAGAATTTCAAGCACCGAATCTAAATTATCACCATATTATTATAGAGCATTAGCAAACTATTATAATATAGAAATAAACGATTTTGTATATCACACTGTAACTGTAGATAAAGAATTAATTTATATAATTATTGTTAGTATCCCAATGTTAAACATCAAATTTAGAATTGAAGGACCGACTACGGAAGCCGTTCGCGAAACAGCAGCTGTTCGATGTCATAAAGAACTTCAAATAAAATTAATAGATTCTCAATATTTATTTGATTAATTCAAAATACTTTTTGTAATATTTATTTTCAATTTTACAAAAAAATTAGTAATAAATGGTTTATGCAATTTAATAAATTGTCTAATATTAATCGACATAAAATAAATCAAAATTATTAAATACTGTTTTCTAATTAAATACTAATTAAAATTTATTTAAACACTAATAAATAAATGTAATATTTATCCAATATGGCGCTAATGATGAGTGTTCGCTTCACCATAACAAGTGAATCTAAAAAAGTAGTTGGAGCTGAAAATTAAAGAAACTGATTATAAAACTGAGAAATAGGAAATTAACTAACGAATAACCTACGACAAAATTTTAAAATTTATGGAAATGGAAATATTAGAGGATAATTAAGTGCAAATCATTTTCGACAAAATCGGTCAGAAAAGAGAAAAGAAAAGAGATTACATTTTAAATAATAAAGGACTAGAAAACAAAATATAGTCAATTTAATAAACAATTAAGAAGACATCAGGGGATGCTGATAACATTTGATTGATCAAGGATTGCGGAGATAATGGAAAAGATTATGATGTGAAATAATCGTCGATTTATAATGGTTAAAAACAAAAAAATTCATTGATTACAATCTAAAAGAAATCATCAAAATCCATGAATAAAAAACTTGGAAAGGTTACACTAAAAAAATGGACTATTACAATAAAGACAAATGAAGAGATAATCATCTAACACGGTGGACAACAAAAGCCAGTAGACAACTAATCAAAATGAAAATCGCAATGGATTAAATAAAGGATAAAATTACACATTAACATCAAATGACAAATAAAAAAATGACACGATGAACAATGTAAATGGAATATTAATGAAGACAATAAACTTACAATGAAAACTATACTAAACTAGTGTTATTTAAAAGGGTGTCAATCAAGTGATATTAACTGAAAAAGGTGACAATAAGAGAAAAAAGAATAGGTCGACATATAAAACAGTGGTCGAATAATGAAAACAGATGTCAGATAGGGACGACAGATCGATATAAGTAATAGATTAAAGTCTATGAAAACAATTACTGAAATAATAATGAAAATAAATAAAAACATGTTTATTGATAATGACCGACAAACATTTGACAAAAATGGTAGACAGACTAAATAATTAACAAAAATGGTCGACAATCAAAAAGGATGACAAGAGATCATCGGAAAGAGTAATTACTGGACTAGTCAATAGAAACAAAATGTGACGGAATAGTCAAAAAGAAAAATTATATATAGAAAATAGTGGTTGTCAGTTTTGGTCAACAGAAAATTTGGAACAAATGACGTCAATGGAAACTACTGTCGAAAGGTGTTGCAAAATAGGAAACAACCGAACAATTAAAATGACTGATAAAAATCATTATGAATAGTGATGTACAAAAATGTGTAGATTTTCATAATTCAAATATAGACAAACAGATCAAATAATCACATAGAATTAACAGTGGATAAACTAAACAGAAACAACATACGATACGATATAGTCAACGGAAAATTCTATAAACTAAACAAATCAATAATAATGTAGTGACAAAATAAATAGTAAACAATATTTTATAAAATACTGGAATATACACAAAATTAAAATTAAAATTTAAAATAAATTTGGACAATATAGAGATAAATAATTTACACATTGTAAATGAAAGTATAGTCGACAGCAGTCAGTAGTCAATGATAAAGATAAAAACACATGTGGAAGAACTTTGAAAAGAATTAATCGCTTAAACAAATTAAAACGCTACTTCACAGCGTAAGGGGTTATATTGCAATATTAGAATAGATGATTGGATCAGCTGAAGAAATTAATTACAACAAATAATGGATGGATCTCTGGAAATGAGTACATAAATACTACAAAAAAAATTCCGATACTTTCAGTTACTTAATAAAGAGATCGATAAGCTGAAACATTTGATGAAATCATCTGATTAATTGGATCCAATAGAGATTAAGGATAAATCTCAATGAATAAGTTGTTAATGGAGTCAAAGCAAATTACGTCATTGTACGTCAAGTTTATACTGTGTCTTTAAGTAATTTAAAATTGAATAGCACTATAAACTTATTTTAGTGGCCACTGGTAATGTCGGGGACATTGAGTAAAATCTCGGATAGATTTTACGGATACAAGTTCATTGTTATTTAAATGTCGTTAAAAACAATTATATCTAATAAATCACATTTAAATCTAATAACAGTTATAATCTTTAAAACTAACAAAAATACAGAATATTATAATCACAGTTAATAATCTATTTAATAAAACAGACAATATAGTTCAAAATTTATGTTAATGACAGTTTAAAGAGAAATAGTTAAAATCATATCGGATGAATGGACTTGGGATTTGGAAGAAAAAGTCAAGAACTTTAAAATTGCTTTGAGCTCAACAAAAAATAAGACTCCATTACACTTAAGAAATAGACGGTTTGAATGACTTCCGTCTGGAATAAGGCCTTCTGTATGTTTCGTTATCGTGTTAACGAATCACGTTATACAGGATATGCTGATATGCTCCGGTTTGAGCATATGTTTGCGCAAACGGTTGAAGAAGGGCTCGTTGTTTCAATAGACAGAACTGATCACTCTTGTTATTGAAACCATATTTACTAATAAAACAATTTACAAAAATTATGATGAAAACAAATATTCAAAAAAGCTGATACAAAGAATACAATGGATAACTTTAAAGTTAAAAGAGAATTAACTGTATTTGAGCCGTACAGTGATGTAAGGAGGGACAATAAAAGGTTAACAAAGATAGAATAGTCGACATTCTTGATGTTAAAAGAAATTATAAACAAAACGAAAAGTAAAGACATCGTTGACTAAACGTAATCGAAAAAGTAAAGATTACTATTACTAAAGAGACTATTAACGATAAGGATAAGGACAAGAAAATATCATCTAGAATGGCCGTTATTGGGATACTGGGGGACGCCTTAGCATTCAATGACAGGATTGGATTAACATGAGACATAAGAAAAGATCACAAACGAAATAGAAAATGGTTATTGCAAGAAACGTCAACAACAAGAAAATCAACAAAAAAGGATTAGTCAACGCGGTCTTTAAGATGATGACAATCAAGGAAAACATCAGCGGACAACGCGAAGAGATGGTTGTTTCTGAGGACAGAAACGTTTTAAAGTGAGGGGAAATGCCTTATATTAGCACAACAAATATCAGTAATAACTGATATTGTTGTGCTGACCAAACAAAATATTTTTAAATGTTATTAAATAAATACTGATTAGAAAATATAAATTAAAATACTGATAATAAAAATATGTACTTAAAGTATATGTAAATAATACTACTGTTAGTAATACTGTATAGGTTTTACGGCATATTTATAGTTATTAATACATAAATACATAATACTGTTATTGTAGTTATTATTAAATAATACTAAAATATTACTTATTGTTTTAATACTATTGTTTTAATACTTAGTTATAATATTGTTAAGTGATTGTAAATAGTACTATTTGGCAATTAATACTAAAAGGATATAATACTGCGGTATAATTATTATTATTGTTATTATTATTACTATCACTATTATTATGATTATTATTATTATGATTATTATTATTAATGTCATTATTATTATTATTGACTATTATTATTATTAATTGTTGTTATTAATTACTATTATTATTAATATTATTATTATTATTATAATTGTTAATACAGTCATGTAAAGATGTTTTGTATAGGGTCGGTGCTGCCATCTATTGATGGTAGTAGACACTATCAAGACTAGAGTGTGTAACGGGAATCACGGTTTGTTCCCAATGGGAATAACCGTGATTTTCCCGGGAAAACCGGGAATGTGTTGGGAGTAGGGTATTAAAATACCCGACACAAATCCTAACATATTCCCGTCTATAATACAAAATATACAACACTATTTTTATTAAGTGGGTTAACACCTAACAGAAACATAGGGAATATTAAGGGAATATATAGGGAAAATATAGGGAATTTTTATGGGAATATTTTATTAATTAATTAATTTCTTTAATACTTATTGGGAATTAAGTATAGTATATGAATTTATATTAGGGAAGGCACGGCATGTTTGCACACGACACCAATAGGTGTTGTGCGCAAACAATAAGTCCCATTGATTTTGAGAGTATATAAACTGCTGTAAACCATTCATTTGGTTATGAAGTGTTGGGTTCAGACTTAAACCAGTTAACCCTAAAGAGTGCTTAGGATTTGCATTAAACTGCAAACCTAATAAAATACCATTGGATTACATATAAATTTATTGTACTTTTGTTTTTATTATTATTATTCAAATAAATACTGTTATACTCATTTACAATACGGATTACAATTTATTTTAACTCAACGGTGAGTCGTCAGACTTGGACGGTATCTGTTTACGGATAGATACCGGTTGTGTTTCATCAGCTCGTATCGGACCGCTGTGGCGTAACAGTGGCTACGAATTAGTGTAACACAACGCAATATATATATATATATAAAATATATTAAATGATAATAAAATGACATTGATTTTAAGTAATATTTATTATATTATTATCAAGTTTTAAATTATATATAATTATTAATAGTAGTAATTTAAAGCTTTTATTTTTTTATATGATTACTAATTACTAACAATTTATTTATTTTTTTGATTATTATTCAAATGCTAATATTATTATTAGTAAATAATTGTATTATACTGTACCTGTATATATATATAGTGTACATATATCAATAATATAGTCTCAATATTTAATATTATTTTATATATATATATATATTCATCTATTAATTGTATTTTAATACAATTTACAAACAAATATATTATAAATCTTAGTGAAAAACTTTTTTCATTTATTAGTAATAGTAATTTATTACAATTATCTATAAACTAATAATTTTATTGATAAAAAAATATTTTTATTAACTTTTATAAATTAAATGTAAATGTATTTATCAGTAAATAATTTTTATATATATATATATATATATTCTGTGTTCATATATATACAGTATATAAAGTTTGAATATATATATATATATAAACAAAAATTATATACATATTGAATATAATTGAATTATTATCTATTAATTAAAAGTGACTTTTATTTAATTTATAGAGAAAAAAAATTCCACTTTTTAAAAACATATAAATAGCAATAATTTTCTTAACAAACATATCATTAAAAATAATTATAAACATATAATAAGTTTCTATATAAAACAAAATATAATACTAAAAAATACTATAGTTTTTGTGTATGTTGTGTATGTTTTTTGTTTATTAATTAATTAATAACTATAACTAATTGTTTGTTTAAAAAAAAAATATTTTTTCTTTACAATATATATTATTATTATTACTGTCTTATTACTAATTTAAACAAAACAGTTGGTATAATGGACTCCATAGACGATAGTCGTGTTTTGAACGGTCCGATTGAACCATATTATGATCAGCTAATAAAATGCTATATTTGCCGCAAAATACCGTTACGACCGATAGCCCGAAAATGTTGTCAAGTTTACATATGGTGTGATAAATGTATTGATGGTATTCCTAACAATGAATTGTTATGCCTTTGCGGTGATTATACTGTACCTGATTGGGCAGGTATTCCGCCATACGTTAGACGTCGGCTTGATTTACTAGAAATCAGGTGCGTTTACCATCTGTCCCATGGATGTCAGCACCGGGCACTTTACCGAGATTTGGCCGCACATCAGACTCAGTGCCCGCACGCGGCTGAAGTCACGTGCGAAATATGTGATAATCTTATGCGTGACCACAAAGATGGCGACGACGACGACAATACAGCCGATTCGGGCGGCAATACAAGTCAGGTCAGCGGTGCTGGTGGTAGTAATGGTGGTACTGGACGGCCATCTATCCTAAAGTGCATTAAATTGCTATCAAATAGGATAAAAAATATGAGTGAATCACTGGAAAAACATCGCAATCTACTTGAGCACCTATACGATAAACAACGGCGACACCACCACCACCACCACCACCAACAACAACAACAACAATAATAATAATAATAATAATAATAATCAAAAAAAAATTGAGGAAATCAAAGCTCATTTCATAGATGTATTTGATATGCGCGCGGGCTAAGCTAGTAGTTAAAAGTTATTATTTTAATTAATATTTTTTTCAAAATACTAATAATTAATATTTTTTATATACTTTTTTCTATAAGTAATTAACAATTTTAAATTTATATTAACTATATTTTATTAATGATTAAATCAATTGTAAAATTTATTTATAAAAAATGAGCAAATATTTGTTAAAATTAATAATAAAGATCTGATTTTTAAATAATATATTTGTTAAAATTTATTTATATATTATTTGTTAAAATTTATTTATATATTATTTGTTAAAATTTATTTATATATTATTTGTTAAAATTTATTTATATATTATTTGTTAAAATTCATTTTTAATATTTATAATTAATTAATTTTTTTTCTTGTTTTATTATTTAGAAATTTAATTATTTTTGTTAACAATTATTAAATAATTAATTAAATATAACAATTCGTAAACATTAATTTTTTTGAGTTAATTAAAATTATTTTTTAAAAAATATATAAACTGTAATAATTTAATAATTAAGATATTTAACAAATTAAAAAAAATTTAAAATAATTATAGTATAATAAATTTAAATCATATTTTTGAGTAACATTATTAATAAGATTATTAACTATTTCTATGAATTAATTTTTTAAATAATTTATTTAGTTATTTATTGACTAGAAATAGTCATTATTATCAATTAATTTTTAAACATAACAATAAATAAAAAAATTAATAATATAATAGATTTAATTTATATTAATTTATTTTAATTAATGATTTATGATATATTTATTATTAATAAAAAAAATTAAACAAAAAATATATAATTAAAAATTGTAATTAATTATTAATAAAATAATATAATTTGATTAAAAAATATAATAATTTAGTAAACTAGTGAAAACAATAAAATATTTTTTTTGTGTTTATTTTATTTACTAAATTATTTTAATATAAAAAAAGTGATAGATAATATAATTTTATTTTTAAAATATAGAAATTAATAATTTATAAATAAATATAAATATTATAAATACATCAATAAAACTATTAAAAACTTTTAAAAATTTTTGATAGGTTATTAATAATAACTTATTATTAATAAGGTAGTATCAAAAAAAAAATAAAATATTAATAAGATTAACCTAGATAATTTAGTATTTATATCTAAATAATTTTACTGTGTATGTACTAAACAATAGACTACTATAAATATACATATATATATATATCTTATATCTTATAGTATTAAACTGTACCTAGCTAAAATTAGATTAATCTACTATTACTACTACTTATATTATTTAATTAGTTATTTTATTTTTACAAAACATTAATATTATTAATACAATATATAATATGTTAATTTAAATATATAATTATTACATTTTCAAAATATTTATACTTATAATTTATAAGATATAAATAATATATTATTCTAAGTATAATTAATTTTAATTAAAAAAAACATTGTTTATTATTATTCATATATATTTTTAAATTTTTATTTAATTAATATTTTGTATTTATAACTAATAATAAGATCTAAATTTTTTTTAAAACAAACTATTATTGCGTTTTATTAATAATTACATACAATATATTAATACTTTATTTTTGTTTGTTTTATTTTTGTATTAGTAATTTCTAAATAATATGATTTTTAAAAATTTATAAAAAAAACTGTAGATAAAAATAATAAATTTATTTTTATTATAAATTTTTCAATTAATTGATAATTTAAGAGAAAGACATAATAAATACATTTATTATTTTTAATAACAATTTATAAAAATATAATAATTTATTTTTTTCAAAAAAAATATAACATTAAATAAAACTAAACATTTTTTTATTATACTTATAAACTAATGGCAAATATATATATAAAATTATACAAAAAAAAATATTAATATTATTACTATTAAAAATAATTTTCAAAAATATATATATATATTTTTCTAATTAATAAATCAAATCTAATAAATTGAAATAATAATAATTATATTTTCATAAATATAATTAATTTTCCAAATAACTAACTAATAGCTAACTAATAGCTAACTAATAGCTAACTAAATATCTAACTAATAGCTAACTAATAGCTAACTAATAGCTAACTAATAGCTAACTAATAGCTAACTAAATAGCTAACTAAATAGCTAACTAATAGCCACTAATAGGGACCACTATTATGTCCATAGATACCGGTGCTGCCGACTCCACCACCACCACCAGCACCTATACCATCAATAACTGTCGATAGGCTATCATCGATCATACGATGAACACATAGGTTGGCTTCCATACCCTTGCATTTGATTGCAGCCAAACAATTGATAAGCCGTTTTTTATGGACCAACGATTTGCAAGCATTTATTTCGGCCGAACAGTTACCAGCCGTTTCCAGACCAATACAATTGATGAACCGGAGAAACCTGAGTCCCAGATGACCGAAAAGTTGGCCAAATTTGATGATCAACTGTAGTAGACTATTGGTAGGACCGACGCCGATAACTGGTGGTTGTGTTGGTGGCGGCTGTGTTGTTGGTGTAGTAGTAGTTACAGCACCGGTAGTTATTGGCAGCATTGAAGTTACGGCAGTTTCAGTGGCAGCAGCACCGGGTGCTGCTGTTGTTACCAGTGCTGGGGCTGTAGTATCGGGAAATAGTGTCGGACCTGTTATCGGTGGTCCAGTAGTTGACTCCTCCAGAGGACCGACAGCTGTAACTGTTGAACCATCACCAGCCGGTCCTTCAGTAGGTGTTATTATAGTAGTAGTATTGGTAGGCTGTCCTGGATCTCCCGGTGCCAGTGATGTTGGTGTTGTTGTTTCCTCGACTTGTTGTTGTTGACCATTGAGTCCATGGATGTGCACAACAATGACAATAACGGCTACTATTAGACCAATGTTTAAATAGGAGTCTAAAAAAATAATTAATTAATTAATTAAAATACAAATTTTAAATAATTATTTATTTTTTTTAATAAAAAACATACTTTTCATTGTTTTTTTAAACAAAAAAAACAATTTAATATTTTTATATTTTAATTATATTTTTGTGGATATAATTGAAAAAATATTTCCAATGATATATTGAATTAAGAAAATAATTTAATTATTATTTTATTATTTTTTTGGATAATCAATACTAACTAATAATTGTTTGTGTGTTTGTAGACTGACTTTTTATACTTTTAATTAATTAAAAAAATAATAATAAAATAGGTTTTATATGTATAATACAATTTGGATATTATTATTATTATTATTATAAGTACAAAGTTAACTAGTCTACAATAACATTGTTATAAAAATAAATATATTATATACAGTATATATATTTTAATTAATATTTCTACAAATATTTTATTAATAATAATAATAATAACAATATTTTTATTGTGATATTTTAATTATTATTATTATTAATAAAAATAATTACTGACATTAAAAATAGTTTTTTATTTATTTATTTATATTTTCAATTGTTTACATAAGCTATTAATTATTAAAGTTAATATTGTGTATTAAATATCAATATAAATATATATATATATATATATATATTGAACTAATTATTTAAATAGAATACTAATTGAAAATATTATTTATTTATTTAAGTAAAATGAAATTGTATTAGTTTTTTATAAAATTTTGTAATTTAATTAAATACAATTTTGTTTTATAAATAAATAATTAAAATTAAAACAAAACTTGCTTTTTTATAAATATAAATATATATTTAAAACTATGTTAAAATATTTAGTTTAAATTTTAATAATTATTATATCTGAATATTGTACATAAATTATTTTATAATTTTTTTTTATATTTAAAAAATTTAATATTATTTTTATCTACACTAAAATCTTTAATTAATTAAAAAAAACTGTATTTTGTAAAATAATTTAATAATTATATTTATCATAATTTTTATGTCTAAATTCAAGTAGAGTTACTAATATTGTCATAACTATTTTAAACTAAAACTAATAATAATAAAAAATATATTATTTTTAAAATTTAAGTAATAATTTAAGTAGTATTTTTAGTAATTATTTATATTAAAAATTTATATATATATATCAAAAATTTATAATTATTATAATTATAAAAATCAAATGTTTTATTTACTAAATACTTATAGCTGTGATTTTTTATTACATTAGTATTATTAATAATCATATTATTGTACAGTATATTACAATTTTTAAAAATTACTAAATTTTTTTTTTTTAATATTATTAAAGTGCTATTGCTATTAGTAATAAATGTTAGATATAAAAATAAATATATATTGTAAATAAATTGAAATACTAAAAGTTATTTAATATTTTTATATAGTTTAAAAAATCATAAAATTTATTTTTAAAAATTAAGTTAAATTATATAAAAGTTTCTCCAAACAGGACTAATTAGTAAATAAATATAATAAAATTAACAATTTTAATGATTCATTAATAATTTTTATACAGTTTTTCAAATAAAAATAAATAAATAAATAAAAATATTTTTATTAGTATACAATTAATTATTTTAAATACTAGTATTTTTATTTAAAAATAAACTTAATTAGTTAGCATAGTTTTTTTTATATAAAAAAATAACAGTGTATTTAATTAAATTAAATAATTATATTTATTTTTAAAAAAAAAATAATACATAATTATTGACATTTAGATTTATAATATTAATGATATTTACTACATATTAATATTATTATTACTTTATATATATATATATATAAATATATATTATATTAATGTGTTTGCGATATACCAGTGTGCAGCAGCAGCAGCACCGGTAGTTTATTTTGTTGTTTAGCGGGTGTGAGTCATACACATACACATACACATACACATACACATACACATACACATACACATACACATACACATACACATACACATACACATACACATACACATACACATACACATACACATACACATACACATACACATACACATACACATACACATACACATACACATACACATACACATACACATACACATACACATACACATACACATACACATACACATACACATACACATACACATACACATACACATACACATACACATACACATACACATACACTCACATAGACACTGATTACACTTTATTAAACTAATATATTAGTTAGTACTATACTATACCCCATCAGACTCTGGCAACGGGAGGGGGTATATGTCGGGGAAGTGTATTGGATGGGGGGGGGTTGTATTGAGTGGTAACACTTCAAACATGCGCACCGGTATATAGTTGTTGTTATACCCAAATAGTCGCCCTCTCTAGTATAGTTTACCAACAAAAAAATATTATTTGAAATTTTTACGCTCAATGTTTGTTAGGAGAGTGGGGGGGGGGGTTTGATTGAACTGGTAGTCTACTATTATAACAGTATAACAGTATGCATGTATAACATAACAGTGTGCTGCACTTGCGTATACATACATACATACATACATACATTGGAAAGTGTATTGCAATGAGACACAGTAGAGATAGAGAGGATAGGATAGTCTCCAGCACTGGTAGGCAGTAGTAATACATACATTACATACAGTGTTTAGTACTGTAATATACAGTATATGTGTTATGCAATGGGATTCTTGAATAGTAGTGTTTTTAAAATAAATATATAAATAAAAATCAATTTTTTTTGTGGATACTATTCCGGATTTAAAAATAAAATCAACAATAAATATATATGTATATAAATTTTTGGTGATAATAATAATGTGTATAAAAATGTTTTTATTAAATTTAACATGCTAATTTATCATCCCAAAATAATCATGCTACTCTACTCAAAAAATAAATAATAATCAAAATTGTGTTAAATTTTTTTTTTGGTTTAATTATAACATATATAAAAAATATTAAATAAATAATATATTTATGGTTTAATTGAAAATAATAATTTGTAATTGCCAACAAAAAAAATAAATTTACAAAATTATCATCATCATGTTTTTATTATTTATGAATATTTATTTTATCAAATAACAATAATAACCATATAATTTATATAATAAATGTGTAGTGAGTGTATCAATATATATATATATATAAAAATGCTCATGGTCAATTGCATCGATTGTATTACTAAATACAGTATATATATATATATTGTAAATACATTGTGAATATTTAATTAAATATTTATTACTGCAAAATGTGAATTATATTGTAAATAAAATATTGAATAATATATACAATAAATACAGTGAACATCAATATTATGGATATTACTAACAATATATACAGTATATTGAAATTTATTTATTATAATATTATTTATATATTTCAAATATACATTCAAAATTCATGCATAAATAAATAGCATCATATTATTATTACTATTATAACTCATGTACCAACAACAAAAATTGTGCTAGTTGATTTTTTATGTGTGTGTGTTATAATTACCATGGATAAATTTTTATGAAAAAAAATAAAAAAAAATAAATACTAATACTATTAATAATAACTATGTTATTACTACAAACATTGGATATCTATTTATAACAACTATAGTACCAAATAATAATAATTTAATTTAAATTTAATAATTAATTAATAATAATTATGGGCAAAGATCAGGACCTATTGGACGCCTCCCGGAGCGGCAACTATCAAGTGGTTGAAAAAATATTGAATGGACGTACAAAAAAATCAGGTCCACTAGCTAGGTAAAATAAATAAATTAAATTAAATTTTAAAATTATTTTTATTTAATTAATTATTTTTTAAATATATTTAATAAATATTTAAAAAAATGACAATTATTGTGTCCGTTGCTAATTTATAATTATTTATAATTGTCAATAAAATTAATAATTAATAATTTGATAATATTTACAGTTTTTTTTATAATGTTATAATTATTTATATATATATATATTTAGTATAAATAATATTCAATAATTCAATTTTGATGTTTATTTATAGTTGAAATTATTTCAATTTTTAAAATGATATAGTTTAATATATTAATATGTTTATAATATATATATATATATATAACAATAATTGAAAAATAATAATAATATTTCAATGAATAGTTTATATCTAAATATCTATATATATATATCATATTTAGTTTATATTTATATATTTTAAAAGAAATTTCATAAAATACTTAAAAATAAAAATTTAATTACCAGTTATACAATATTATTAAATATACATTAATATAATATAATGAATTTTTTTTAAATAATAACATTAATTTTCATGAAACAATTTTGTTTATTATTTAATAAAAAAAATATTGTTGTTTTGATGTGTATGTGTAGGTATATATATATAATAAAATATATATATTAATTAAGTATAATAAAAAAAATCAACTAACAATTGATTATAATTATTATTATTATTTTATATATATATATAAGGAATATTCTCTAATATAAACAATAATAATAATAATAACGTAAATAAATAAAAATCAGTTTTTACTGTTATGTATATGTATTTACAGTATATGTATTTCACTGCAATATATATATATATACAGTGTATATAATAAAACCATTTATACAGTAGTAGTACAGTAAGTATTTTATTGCCACTAATTAAAATGGACATCAAATATATACAACAAAATCATCAATAAAATACACTGTATTTTATTTATAGTATATATATATATAGATATATACAGTATATATAGTTTTAATTATTAAGTAAACAATTGTTAGTGCAATGATTTTTTTTTGGTAGTTGTTTTTGTTGTTATTTTGTTGAAATATATAAATAGATATTTTTCTTGCTATATATATATACACACATATCTACACTGTATATACTGTCTATATTTATATATAATAATAATGTATATGAAATATATCTATATATATATAGCATATATATATATATATCAATATAGATAAATTAGATTAAATTCAATATATATATAAACATTAATAATTGCTATCAATTTATAGCTCTCTCTCTCTCTCTCTCTCTCTCTCTCTCTCTCTCTCTATCATAAATACATTCACTTACTCACTCAC